ACAAGTTCACCCAGCCCTTCAAGCCATCCCAAAATCGTGCTGAATTCGGAATTGGGGTGTGCAAGGGGAGTGTAACCAAGATGATGATCACAACGGGTTGCGCACCCCAAGCCTGGGCAAAGGCCATCCAACACGCTGCAGATTTAGACAGAAACACTGCAAAGGAATGTATGGGATGGAGACTGGGCAGACCCCAGACATCTCCAATCTCATCAAATTCAAGTTCTGGGATGTAGTACTGTACCATGAGCCTACCCACAAGTTCCCTGGACAAGCAGTTGGTGGAAACGAGAGGCTTGGAAGATGGTTGGGCAGGGCTCAGGACCATGGTGATAGGATGTGTTCTTGGATCCTAACCCTTGAAACTGAGCAACTCATTGTCAGATACGCGGTGAGGAAGGTTGAAGGGGAGAACATCTCAGATACCACTAGGGATGCTGTCTCAGTTCTCCACAACATCTGAGAAGCGCACCTGAAGGTAGGATACCAATCTACAAGGTAGGTTATCGATTAAAGTCGAAGGTTGACCTACGATACAAATCGTGAAGGGAGGTTGCGGATTATGCACCGAAGCTTCTGGTTCCCCATGAAACAGTACTTACAAATCTGTTAAAGGCATGCTCAATGATCCAGTACGGCCCGTTTAACAAACCTACACCCTCGTTGTTCACAATGCGTGTGGTGGACACCGTGCATAACTTGAAGCATGTCTGGGTCATTGGTAATTAAAAAGGATCGGCTTTAAATAGTTCTTTCCCTCCGAACAAAGATGTTTACCATATAAAGCAGGATCCAGTACCAAGCCGAATGGAAGGGCAATTCCTACTTAACGGTCATGCAAAGCATCCAAAAACACTGCAAACGTGCTTCCAAATTAAGAGTTCCCAGGATACTAATCACTAAGTACAGTTCGGGAAACTAGACCAAAAGAGGGGAAGATTGGGATAATATTGGGGTTAGAATCTTTAAGGATACTACTGGCGAATACTGCAGCGGCTGGTTTCGAACAACAACAATCGGGAGACAAGATTGTCATGGTTAACAGGAATAAAAGGGGAGAAAAGGTTACCGAATAAGTAACCGAACATCGCATCGATAGACAAGGTGCGGCAAGAAAAC